ATTGTCTTTAAGGGTTGTCTCCACGCGGCTTAGACGGGACTCACTGTGCAGCTAGTACAAAACTCAGGAGAGCAAAACCAGCCATCTCCAGCAGCTCTGCAGGAGCCCAAACTGCATCCCTCCACCCACCCTGATCAGATGTGCATGGGAACACACCTTCTCTTTTAGCTCTGACCCTGGAACAAAACTCAGGAGAGCAAAACCAGCCATCTCCAGCAGCTCTGCAGGAGCCCAAACTGCATCCCTCCACCCACCCTGATCAGATGTGCATGGGAACACACCTTCTCTTTTAGCTCTGACCATGCCCCACCCCGTGGAGCTGATTTGCTGCCAAGGACACGCCAGTCTTGTCCAAGGGAATTCGGAGGTGCGGATTTCAGATGCACTTTTAGAAGATGGACTCAGGGCCCAGCCACAGGACAATTCCCACCATAAGATGCTGAGATGCAATAAGGCTTGTAATGAAAATAAAGGGGATTCCTTACTGAGACAGAAACCCAGCGGCGTGTCTCAGGATCTACAGCATCCAGTCCAAAGAGGGTCCCCCCAGACCCCGGCCTGAGGTGGGACCTCACAGAGCTACAAGCCAGGGCATTGGTCACACTTAGAATTGTAAAACATTGTCTAAACGGCAGCCTAGAAAGCCTGGCGACTAGCTGTTCATTCCAACCCCAACCTTCGCCTGCTGCTGCCAACCCTCCCCACTCCCAGTAGGGGTGTGAAGTCAACGAGGTGATTAACCCATAAGCCTCAGCCTGTCACTTAATCTTGTTGACTACACACACTCCCCACCCCGCCTCTGTAGCAGAGGCAGCAGCACGGGCTGACAGACAGGCGGCCTGCACAGGGAGCTGGTTTTTCAACTGGCTCCCACCTGCTGCCTCTGATAGACGGGCAGCAGTGCAGAGTGGCGTGGGGCTCCCCAGGAGTGGGGCTGGCTGCCGCCCCCGCCCCCCAGGAACGATCGAATAGTCGTGTAGCCGCTAACATTTCACGCAGTTACACGACTCTGCAGCTGCACGCTGGCTAACACCCCTCGCTCCAGCACAGACCCAGAGGAGCCGCACGCTGCAAGTACTTTGGGTCCGAAGGGACGGTGGACACATGGTCAGAGCAGGACTCCCAGCAGTACTCGGCCAGAGCTGAGCCCCTGGGCAGTGTGTGCTGCACACATTCCCCGCTGGGCCGGCTTCGCAAAGGGTGGAGACGTAGGTGCCAATTGTAGGGCCCACGCAAAGGAGGCTCATTAAGTGAGCTGGATGCGTCCCATTCATCGCCTTGGCTGGGAAAGCCAGGGCACCCCGCCCGGCACAGGGGACATGGCTGCAGCGTGTGGAGAGCCAGAGGCAGCGACTGTTGCAGCAGCATGGGGTAGCTCCAGTCCCGAGGACTTTGGGAAGGGTTGTGAGTGGCTTTTAACCTGTGCTACCCTGGGCTGGCTTTGCTCTGCCTACACCCTCCAACCACTCCCCACGACTGCAGCGGGGCCTGGGCACCGGGGGCTCTCACTCTCCGTCCCGCACAC